ATTTGCTGAGAAACTGTGACAGATATAATGAACATAATGTCAGTAGCAGCACTTTACAACAGCTTTACACTTATCGCTGATGTTAAGACTACATTTGTATCATGTAATATTGTTACCATTTTTGGATATGAATGGGGAGCTCAAGGGCGAAAGCCTTAATAAAGTAACTTAAAGTGACTTATAACGAGATTTGAAAAGAAGGCGATTTGATCGCTGGGACAATACTTTTATTTGTCTGCCGTTTCGATATCCGTCGCGGATTTATCGTCAGAGACATAAACAGATAGCAATAGCAGATACGGGTAGCGTATGCACGAGAGTTTGCAGTATTTATAGGATACAGTCATTACTGCAAACATACAACGACAACGCTAACTGCCTTCATGTGCGTTGATAGTTTATTGAACGGCATGCGGGCTCTGACCTGCTGAATTTACATCACGCGTGGTGGCGTGACGATTGCTCGGCCATGTGGTCTTCCCGTGTTGGCGTAGGATGGCGCGGTGACCTGTCCGTTCCCTAAGTGGCGACTTGCTTTGGCCAAAGTGAGTCTCAGCATCAAATATGAACAATGACTCATGCAATTCTCGGGTCACCCGATTGCCACCTCTTGCGAGAATTTCGATCTCATCAAATTTGGACAAGTGGCCCGGTCTCATCGAATGAGACATACTATTTTTGCATTCACAACATTTATTACCTGTGTTGATTGTCTGAAAATTAAAAGGTGCTTATTTTGTTCCAAGGTTTTACAAATATCTGTTTATTATGGCAATTAATTTAAAAATTTATTATTTTTATTAAACTAATATTTTTGATTCTTGTCTCCATTGCGTATCTTTTACTATCATTTATATTTCTGCATTATAAGCTGTTACACTTTCCCCCCATAATGGTTATCGTTCGGCAACAGATTTATGTCTAATATTCGCTGCAAAGCCATGCGTTTGCCCTAACTTCCATACTTGTGCTATTCTTAGATGACAAGGATCAACTTATTCAGAATTTATTCGGTTAAATTAGGTACTTGAGTATGTAATAGTTTTTAAACCATTGCTTAATTGAGAACTTGGACAATTTTGAATTGTCTAACTTTTGCTCAGCCCATATAGCCGTAAGGATCGTTCCACCTTGCGCTTTCTTATTTTTCCGAGTAAGATTGCTAGTACTTTTTGATTTGGAGAACGCAGGTGACTTGCTTGCTTGTTTTTAATAAAATCAGTCCTCATGCACGTTCAAACTACAAAAAACTGACCATCTTCTTTGTGTGATGTATGTTATCACTTAAATCGCCAGTCGCCCTGTCTAAGAATCGTTGTTACATGTACCGTTACGTCAACAGCTTAGACTAGTGCTACCAAACGCATCGCTTTTCCTTTCTAATAATATGCTATTTGCTTATTGCTTTTCTGGACATCTGATCAAGAGTGGTTTTTCTCAGTAGCCGTTAGCGACTGCGGTATGTTGCATTTTTTAAGTTTGACATGGCGTTGACCAACTTAAAACGTATAAATCCGGTACAGTTTTTTTTATGCCCGATCACGGTTTCGATTCTGCTTACAGGCTGTAAACATCGAGAACAAGCCTTCCGGATCAGGACCCCCTTGTCTGCGATATAATGTTTGATGAATGTGTTTTATTTGCAAACCTTACAAAATCTATGGGTTCTCGTGCACCAAGTAAGCAGCACTCGCGCCTAGGTTTGGAGTCTCGACCTGTTTATGCAGTCTCAGCAAGAAATAGTGTTGTCTCCATTGGCCGACGTGAACACTGCCGAAGTGGGATTCCTAGTTGACATTGGATCATTACAGCTAGGCGAGATGCCGAAACCGCCATACTAATTTTAAAAATGCTGTTGATTTTTTACAGCTTGGTGTCCTTCATCAGTGTAAAACTTGATAGTTTTTCGCGCTTGTATTACTATAAGGGAATTTCCGGGTGACACTAGTTTTCATTTTGAAATTTCATAGATAGATTGCCAAGGCCTCTCTTTATACCGCTCCCTAGTGCAAGAGAATAGGAAAGCTCGTAACACAAGTAGCTGTGTGCTAAATTCCGTTGGAATTATTGTTAGGATTCAGGTTAGTGCTAGGGCCACATTCGGAATTACGTTTAATTTTAGGATCAAATTTAAAGGCTGATGGTAGTATTAGAGCTAGGATAAGGTTTAAGGCTAGAATTAGCACAGGAAAATAGATGTCTTGCCTGGACAAAGCCACCGGCGGTTTCCATACCCCACACAGCAGTAATAATTATTTATGGTCGCTGTAGCGTCAAATTATATTTTCCAAAATTTAGCCATTGTATTTGCTCGTTTTTGCGGTTGTCCTGCAGGGTAAGCAGTAGAATCTCACACCTGAATACTGAAGAAGAGCTAACTTTTCTTCGAATTGGGTCGGATTTCTTATGTTTAAGGTTGCCGCATGACACCTGGAAGCCTTGCTATCCACCTTCAGAGTGCCCGTCTCGTTTGCTGCGGTACAAATTGGTGTATCTGGTGTGCCATGTGAAAGAATTTAGCAGCGGCTCATCATTTTTGCGTCCTCAAGGCTCTTACTTTACACCTATACTTCCTTAAGATAAGTACTATCTTCACCACGCCTAATCTGTTTTGTCTTTCTACCAACACTTACTGAATATACGGAGTCCGTTTTCTGCCGCTGTGTTGTAGTAGCCTTTAAGCATGCGTTCCTCTTCCTTTCAGTGCATTGAAAATGACGTTGCGTTCATCCAACTTGGCGTCAATGCGCGCTTGGCGACGCTATTTCCCACTCGTTTCAGTCGAATCAGTGACGGATCTATTCGAAGACATCTTTCAGCACTGCCGCATCTCAGATAACAACTGGAATTCTTCCTCCGAACCAAATCTGGCTTTTATATCGATAATTCTGGGATATATTGAAACTCAGCTAACGCTGGGGTCTTCACCTAATGCACATGTTTTACCTACAGTCAAATCACACGGTGCAGCAAAATCTGGAACGAAGCCCACTGTTAACCACCGAAGACGAACCCTTCAAGGGCAATCTACCCGCAGCAAACGTTCTAATCTGCGATCGTCTTCACCGTCACTCAAGAAGGTTGATTCTCCAGGAGCTTCGTTCCCTCTTGAAACACCTCCGTCCATTAACGACCTTCCGTCAATCCCGCATTCTGTGCAAAGATGTCTTAGTCGAGATTCTTCCTGTGAGTCGGCTGCGGCCACCCCCAAAACGCCCGTGTCCTTCGATTTCCGCACCGCACAACCGTCAACCAGAACCACTGCTGACTCCCCAGCATCTAATACAAATAGCTGTGAATCGTATGGAAATGTATCGGCAAGTGCAGTGTTCCCATCATTGCGTTTCGAGGAGGCAGAGGGCCTATACCAAAAATTTTATTCTATCATTGTTAATAATTCCAATGTAAGTTTTCAGTTATTGCGCGCACCCAATTTTTCTGATTGAAACCCTTCTCGAACGTTTAAATGACATCAGTTTCCCGTTTATTTTGCACAGTCATTTAGGTTTCTCTTGTCTTCGAATTCCCCTTGAGAACTTACTTATACATTGTTTATAACTGTCGCAGAGGCGCAAATTACTTATAAACTTTTATCCCTGGGCCTTGTCGGTGTTTAATCCCTGTGATCTCTTCACTAAAGTTACTTGCAACTATTAAATCTAAGACTGGCAATTTTTTCGACTGCTGCATGATTTACTATCTTATATTAAGTTTTTTTTATTTATTTA